TGGCTGCCTCTTTGTTTATTGGCCAATATATATCTCTTTACGCTCACAGAGCGGAGATTTATGATCCTCATTAATTACATTTGCGCGCTAGATCATTTTTATTGTCGACATTATGTTTTATTTGGTTCCATATTTGCCGTAGTGACATGGTTAACCGAGATCTCTTAATCATTATAAATGATTTTATTCAGGTACCTGATTTCGTTATTAACCATGGCAATCGGTCTCTTTACTCTTCTTGAAGAGTCTTTTTGCTCATCTTGAGGAGTCTCTATACTCCTCTTTAGAAGTCTATATGCTCTTCTTTTAAGAGTTAAATCCTCTTTTTAATAATAATATGCTCCTTTTTTATTTTCGAGGATTTTCTTTATATTTGGAACCAAAGTTGTCTATCACGTTTTTATCGTGTTATAGACAATAATATGTCATCCGCCAGAGACATAATTTTGTAGAGCATTTTTAGCTAGGACAAGAGATTTCCTATGAACTTTAAGTTCATATGTATTTATACGAGGATCAATAATTTCATGAAATTTCATCCATCAGCTTTTTGCATTTCATTTGCAATTTATTATGAATAGTGATCTATTTGAACTTTGAACTCTTAAGTTCATATTTATTATAGTCATTTGTTCAAAGATCTGAACTATTCAATGATTCTCCCATAATGATGGGGAACTTTATCATCAACATGATGATTTGCAAATCTTGCAATAGGCACATCTCTCATAAGATGGCTCAGTATTTGTAGAGCATAGATTCATCTCCTGCATCTATATATTTCATCCTTTTTGGATGATATTTTTATGCGATGCAGAGGAGCATTTATAACATATACCTCACACCCATAAAATTCAAAATTAAAAACATTTGATCTCCAATCATGTATATATAACATTGGAGAAATATTTCTTATAAATCGTTGGCCTTATATATAATCATTACTATATGCAAAACTGCATGTTGCATGTAAAAACATGAAGATTAAATCACCATGAATCGTTTTTGCAATCTCTTGGATTTGCGTTATGAACGAAGCTCATTTTGAGAGTGAACATCATTTTTTGATGTTCCATTTTATCAAAAAGCGATAAATTTTAGGATATGACTTCACCAGAGTTATCTCGCTCTGGGTGTCAAACTCACCAAAATTTATCGACTTATTGTCGATGTGGGATTCCTCTAATTCTCCCCCTCGAGATGATAACTCTTCGAGTTCATTCATCTCGAATTGAATCCCACTTTAGGATCAACAACATATCCAATCTGGATCATGTATTTATTCTTAGATCCTTATAAAAATGTGGGACTTATAATACCCCTTCTCAAAATGATGGCTTTTTAAGCCTATTTATCTTGGACCGAATCTTATTTTTAGATCGGTTATATTCAGGGATTAATTTGGAGATTATTGAGGAAATCAACCAGCATATACAATGAGCTTATTAAATAAATAAAAATGGTGATTTGGCCAAAAACCATATAATTCTGGAGGCATAACCTACTACAGAGTTAAGGAGAATGTATATAACCTTCAACTCCGTATATAATATAAAATTTAAATGAATTTAAATAAATTTAACATAAATTAAATGTTACCTCTGAAATGTGGACGGAAGCATGCAATGCTTGAATAGCATTCTCTTTGTTTATATAAAATTTTAGTGATATTTAATCACTCTTTTTGAGTTCCAATTTAGGTCATCAACATCTACAGCAATGATCACAAATCTCGATAGAGATTTCTTAATAAAGACGCAAAGGGCATATATCGTTATTAACAGATATACCCTTTCTTTAATAAATAATCGCTTAAGCGATAATATCACATGCGTCTGGATTATTTTAATCCGTAAAGTGATCGCTGTAATTTGACCGTACATATTTCATTAGACTTTGAGTCTAATGTTTATGGAACTTTTAATCCTCTTGGGATTTTCATATAAATATATCATTTTTCAATGATCCGTATAAATATGTTGTCACTACATCCATAAGGTACATTTCTAAATTATTAGCGGCCGCTAGGCTCATTAAGTACTTAAATGTAATTGCATCCATGACCGGAGAATATGTTTCTTCATAATCAACTCCAGGTCTTTGAGAAAAACCTTGTGCAACAAGTCGGGCTTTATATCGTGTGATTTCAATTTTTACGCACGAAGACCCACTTGCACATAACAGGTTTTACATATTTAGATGTAGTGACAAGAGGTCAAAGACATCTCTTTTATTAAGGAAGAGAAATTCAATATATTGCACTTTTGTTTTTTCAATCAGGCCCTTGCTGGCATTGATACGGATCCTGGATCTGGATCATTATTTTTAATTGCATTTTTCTACCGGGATGGCTTAACCGGTTATGCTATGCTTAAAGCATTAGTAAACTTCATGTTTACTATTATAAATAATTTTGCCATCTTTATTTTGCATAATATAATCATACATTTGCGTGTCTCCATTGTGGTCTAATATTTGATACCACAATTATTTATAGTCTCAGTATAATAATTATAAAAATAAATGTCTTTGAAACTACACGAGTTTTTTTGAGACTTTGGAAAACACGAAGCATCGATTATTATGAATCTGATGCATTTGGAAGTCGAGAGACAAGCTCATCTAGACCTTCCAATTTATTTTGCACTGTCTAAAAATATTTTGACACGTGCTTTATATATTCTCATAAGAGATATATATTTGATTTTAAAGACATATTTTAAAGTCTTTAAATCTCATATAACACATATATTTATTATTTACGAATAAAATAAATAAAAATAATTAAACACATAAATTCATAAAATTAATTATATAGAGACGAAATCCTTTTCATACAAGAATTCAGGAGGCATCGCCTTCCATTAAGAATTCAATAGACATAGCTTTCGTCTGATCGTAGAGAAGGAAGCAGAGCCTACCATATATATCGATCAATCCGGAAAAAATATAAATTTTCATTTGATCGTTAGGAAGGTAAAACCTACCATATAACGATCGATCCGGAAAAAGCATAGCTATTTATTTGATCGTAAAGGAGGCATAGCCTACCATATATAACGATCTATTCGGAAAAGACATAGCTTTTTAATTGATCGTGAAGGAGGCAGAGCCTACCACTTATAACGATCAAACCGGAAAAAGGCAGTTTCACGATGTCTAAAATATTTACGTTCTATAAACATAAATGAATGTAAACAACATTAAATTTTACTTACCTCGTAAATGCTCAAGCGGTAAAAACATCGTGCTGATAACGTGTTATAAAATATAACGCAAATATATATATTATTATTATATGATATGTGTATGAGGAATAATTAAAAGAGATGGAAAACGTAGAGAGGAAGAGCAAGTGGAACAATGACTCAACTTCTCTCTCATTCTTATTACCAATTCTTCGTACAAAGCAACATATATATAGGGGAATAAAAACTTGGTGATCAAGCTACTTCCATGCTAAGTAAACAATAGATAAGAGAGGAAGTGGATAATGATCCGTAATGGATAATTACCATTTTATAACAATCGAGCCTTTGTGAGCATATTTCCGAGTAGTGGCGTATTCATTAACTATTTTAACTAGGTGGCAATAGACAAAGGTTTTTGTTGTCATCATTTAAAAACCATACAATATAATACTCTATAGACTGTAAACGTTAGAATTAATCCTACAAAAGTGACAAGTCAGAATTTAATCCTACAAAAGTGACAAGTCAGAATTATTAAAATACATAAAGAAAACAATTACGGCACCAAAATTTCAGATATATTTATAAAAAAAAACTAAAATCAATTATAAAAAAAAAACAGTGTGTATATATTTAAGGGAAAAATATCGTTTAATAGCCGAACTTTAAAAAAATGGCCGTTTAATACGTGAACTTCTTATATGGCCAAATTAAACATGAACTTAAAGTTGACCGGCCATTTTGCACATACATAACCGTTGACCAGGCCAAAAATAACGCGACGTTATCTGTCGTTAACAGATCCAATAACAGCCGTTAGCACACGTTAACAATTCCGTTATTACCCAAAACGACGTCGTTTCAGACCTAATCTAAACTTTGAAAATCCCCAATTTGATTATCAAATCCCTAACTTCCAGCTAGGGTTCTTATTTTGGGGATTTCTCAAAAATTAGGGATTTGAATACTCTTTAAGTCCTTGCCTCAAGATCTCATTCTCCAGAATATTCACATCTTCGAAAGGAACATTCAAATTCTTCAAGATCTGAACCACAGTGTTGGAGAATCCACACATCGGGAAATCTCTCGTTCCTTTCATGAACAGAACCACTTTCTCCGAATTCACCAGTTTCTCCAGCGTATCTTTAAGTTGCGGCGTAAGCGCCGACGCAGAGCATCGGAATTTTGTTGGTTTGAGCTTGAGACCGTAGAACGATGGCTGACGGTTGTGAACGGCGAGTGCCGCTGTTGGTTTAAGAGAGAATCTGATAGATTGAGGCTTGTTGATAACGGAGGAGGAGACGACGGTGACCGGAGTTATCAAGGTCGGCGTTTTGACAGATCGGAGAGCCATTTTCTCGGGAGTTTTTTTTTATGATTTGGAATTTGAGTAATTGAAAAGGTAAATGATTTATGAGCGAAAAACACTTATTAGTGCGAGTGAGAATGGAATAAACCATGTTGTCAAATTTGTTGGAAATCTTTTATCAGGTGAAAACTGGGATGACAATGAGGTGAAAACTGGGATGACAATGACGAAAAAGACGAAGACGAATTCTGTAATCTTTTTTTTTTTTAATAATCTGCTGGGAATTTTTTATTTTTTTTCCTAAGCACAAAACGACGTCGTTTTAGGTAATAACGGAATTGTTAACGTGTGCTAACGGCTGTTATCGGATCTGTTAACGACAGATAACGTCGCGTTGTTTTTGGTCTGGTCAACGGTTATGTATATGTAAAATGGCCGGTCAACTTTAAGTTCATGTTTAATTTGGCCATATAAGAAGTTCACGTATTAAACGGCCATTTTTTGAAAGTTCGGCTATTAAACGACATTTTTCCCATATATTTAAAGGCTTTAGGAGCAGCTCCATTGCAAGGTTGTTTAAGATAATTTCCAATAGTGGAACTCCATGAAGAGTTCTTAACAATAATAATAAATAATGGTAAAATAATCTTAAATTGTATTCACTACAAAAAAAATTGAATATTAATAGCATTTCAGAATAACAATTTATGTGTTTCTGCTATGGTTAATTTATACTTGATTTTTTAAAACGTTTCTAAAATAATAAACGCTATCATATATTAGGCGACAAAAAGTAATGTACTAGCGCTTAATTTTTGATTCTCCCATTATTCTTCAATAGCACAAACGAATTGCAAATGTTACCGTTGGTTAATGGAGTATAAAAAAATTCATTCTCCACCAAAATCTATATACAATTGCAATCTCAATAAATGTCTTTTGCACATTTGAACGGTTGCATCTTTTTATCGCAACCTTTCGTTTAAATATTAGCGGTTATTTTTTCGGTTGTGTTTTTTATCGCAACTATTCGTTAAAACATTGACGGTTATTTTTTTGTTGACGATTATTTTTCGTTGTGTCTTTTTATCGTAACATTTCGATAAAAAATCGGCGGTTACTTTTTTCGTTTATGTCTTTTTATCGCAATTTTCCGTTAAAATATTGACGGTTATTTTTTCTCGGTTGTGTCTTTTTATCGCAACTTTCTGTTATAATATTGACAGTTATTTTTCTCGGTAGCATCTTTTTATCGCAACTCTTCGTTAAAATATTGACGGTTATTTTTTCACGGTTGTGTCTTTTTATCACAACTCTTCGTTAAAATATTGACGGTTACTTTTTTTGTTGACGCGTATTTTTTCAGTTGTGTCTCTTTATCGTAACTTTCCGTTAAAATATTGATGGTTACTTTTTTCGTTTGTATCTTTTTATCACAACATTCCGTGAAAATATCAACGGTTATTTTTTCTCGCTTATGTCTTTTTATCGTAACTTTCCGGCAAAATATTGATGGTTATTTTTTCTCGGTTGTGTCTTTTATCGCAAATTTTCGTTAAAATACTGTCGGCAAAATATTGATGGTTATTTTTTTTGGTTGTGTCTTTTTATCATAATTTTCCGTTAAAATATTGACAGTTATTTTTTCATAAATGTGTCTTTTTATCGTAACTCTTCATTAAAATATTGACGGTTATTTTATTCGTTGACGGTTATTTTTTCGGTTGTGTCTTTTTATCGCGATTTTCGGTTAAAAAATTGACCGTTACTTTTATTCGTTTTTGTCTTTTTATCGCAACTCTTCGTTAATATATTGACGGTTACTTTTTTTGTTGACGGTTATTTTTTCGGTTACTTTTTATCATAAGTTTCCGTTAAAATATTGACGATTACTATTTTTGTTGCTGACTTTTTATCGTAACTTTTCGTTAAAATATTGATGGTTATTTTTTCTCGGCTGTTTCCCTTCTTTTTATCGCAACTCTTCGTTAAAATATTAACGTTACTTTTTTGTTGACGGTTATTTTTTTGGTTGTGTCTTTTTATCGCAACTTTCCGTTAAAATATTGATGGTTATTTTTTTTTGTTTGTGTCTTTTTATCGCAACTTTCTGTTAAAATACTAACAATTATTTTTTCTAAATTTTTTCTTTTTCGTACTTTTTGGTTAAAATATTGACGCTTATTTTTTTGGGACAGTTCTATTTGTTCAATTGTATTCGTATTTTTTTAGTTTACGGTTGTGTCTTTATAGTTGCATCTATTCATTTAGATACGTCTCTTCACTATATTTCATTGCATTTTTTCCTCACAACTTTTTGTATGAATAGTTTTCTATTTAAATGTTTATTTTTTTTGAACTCTATATATTTATCCTTCTTTCGTTTTCAAAAAAAAAAAAGAAAAAAAAAAAAAAAAATATTTATCCTTCTTCCTATATAGTTCCCAAATTTTTGTTCTTTAACATAGATTATTTATTTATTTCATGATAAATCTAAAAATAATTAATAATCTATAAAATGGCTCAAAATTCTTTATACTCTAAACTATTTAAACATACATCATTTTAATATTAAAGAAATTCTTCTCATTCTTGATATATCTAACTAAAGTTTTTTGGAATGATTATAAAAATGGAGAAGTTTTAATCAACTTTACATATAAAATTCTAATGAAGATACCAACAATTTTTTTCTTAGAATTAGACAGATTATATAGTGAATTTTTTATTTAATTATTTTATATGGTAACAATAATGTTTTCTATCTTAAAGCAATATATATGGATTGTATAGAATAAAATATTGATGTTGCGTTAACACTATTACAAAGTCGAATATGAGAAGACATCCTCATGTGACGCTCGTGATTGGGCGTTTTAAATGTGGTCATCGTCAAATGAATCTTTTCAAATGGTATAGTAATCCAGAAATTATCTACATTATTAGGAAAACAACAATGATTCCAATTCGTCACATGAATATTCAAGGAGAAGTTTTTTTACTCAGTTAATTTATCAATATAAATATAAATTTATGAGATCTTGTAAATGTTTATTTTTTATCTTATAGATGTAATTTACGTCATCAAATTTTATATTTTATTGAATATATATAATAGAATAAATATTAATTTTATATTTAAAGAACAGTGGACAAACAAAAACACCAATTCTCGGGCGAAGTTCTTAGGCACCCACAAGTCATTCTGAGTACCGACTCCATCCGAATGTTTGGGTTTTGACCTGCTAGAATTTCTCATATATATATATATATATATTATAATTCTTCGTTATGTATTTTGTCACTTATAAAATAATTTTACATTCTTAAAAAAATTTCAATAGTGTTTTTAATCATAATTCTTCTTTTTGACATTTTATTCATAAATGTTTTTAACATCTTTCGAAAATATTTACGATATAACTTTAAAACATAGTTAATTTTGTGTAATAATTCATATATTTGAATATATTATCATAATATTTTAATACATAAACACAATCAAATATATTTGTTGAAAATGAGTTTCAAATAAATCCTGTTTTTACTCTAACTTCCCCGGTCCTCTTCCCCTCTCTCACTTTTAACGAGCCCTCACTCTATTACCAACTTTTTATATTGATTAATTTTGTATAAAATGTTATAGAAATCCTATACATGCACATATGGAAAGAAAAGTTAGCATATACACTAGAGTTTACCCCGCGGTACACCGTGTGTCGATTTTTTAACTAAAAAATTAAATTTTAAATAGTATTTTTTAATATTGTTTATTTTGTTAAGTGTTTAAGATTGTTTAATTGTATTTTGATTGTTAATTTTAAGATTTCATCTGTGATATTAATACCATCCCGTATTAATATCGATCCAAACCCGTCCCACTATATAACCTCGTCCCGTGAAATTAAACATCATTTTGTTATTTTTAATAATATTTTATTTAATAGACATATAATTTGAGTCAATTTAAAAGTTTGATTTTATATATATATTTTTAAATTTTAGTTAATAATAATTAATACTATATAATAATTTCTGAATTAATTGCGTATGACCGACGGTCAAGATTGAAGATTAAAAACCGGATTAAGATTTGAATGGCTACGATTAAATGTAGGGATTGTTGAGATCTTTTAAGGAAATCGAATTGAATATGGATGTAATTGTGGCAAGAATTAGTTATGCTTAATATATTAGGTTAAGATTTTTGGAAATGATTTTTAATGTTAATATCTTTCATTTAATTTTGAAAATCTAAATAATTAATGTCAATGGCATTTGATCGTAAATAAATTGGAACTATAGGATTTATTTCATAAATGTCTCCAAAAATGTATATATAGATGAAAGCATAATGGTTAACTTATTTGTTTTTTGTTTTTTTTTTATCAACAACTTATTTGTTTAGTTAAAACAACATTTTTGGGAGAAAAAGAATCACATTCTAAGATTTTGTAACTTTAAAACAAAGGGAATGTAAC